CCATTGAGAAGTTCTTCATGGAGAAAGGCTGGATACCGGTGGTGTGCAAACATGGTGGGAAAGGTAACGGGAGTAAAGGTTTGGGGGCCGCACTTCATACGATTTTTGTGGACAGCTTACCAGAATCCATGAATCCAAAAGGTTTGTACGGTATTTTCAGCAAGTTTGGGGTTGTAAAGGATGTGTATATCCCAAATAAAAGAAGAAAGTTGACGCGTTCAAGATTTGGCTTCGTTCGCTATGATTGTTCAGTGGCAGCACATATGACAGTCCAAAAATCCCATGGACTTTGGTGTGACAATAGAGCATTAAGAGTAAAAACAGCAGATTTTGTTAAAGGTATGGAAGTTAAGCAGAGCACACCAAGATTACTTATTGGAAGGATGGAGATGGGGAATACTAGTGGAGTTCAAGCTATGATACAAGGGAGAAAGTCATACGCTCAGGTTGTTAGCGGAAGCAGGGATATAGCAAACACTAGCACAACCATAAATGCTTTCGAGGAAGGAAATGGATGGCTGTTTAATAGTGTGATTGTTCGACTTAAGCCTCTAAGTTATGTGGCAGAGTTTAAAGAGGAACTGAAGTCTAGAGGACTGGATAATTTTCAGGTTAGAGATGGAGGAGGTAGAGACATAGTCCTGACTTTCGAATCAGTGGAATGTATGAAAGATAAGCTGGCTATAATGGAGGGGTGGATCTATGAGTGGTGTGAGTGGATTACAGAATGGAAACAAGGTATGGTTATTGAACAAGAAAGGCTCATCTGGCTTACATGTTATGGTGTGCCACTGAATCTGTGGAGTGTCAAAACTTTCAGTAACATAGGGAAGGTTTTGGGGGAATTTATTGGCCTGGATGATGATACATCTAGAATGAAATCGTTAAGTTGTGGAAGAGTGAGAATAGCCACTAAGTGTATGGAATCTATTAATAAAACCATTAATTTGTGCTGTAAGGGGGTGCTGTATCCAGTGAAAGTGTGCGAAGAACAACAGGTTATATCGGAGGTCACCCATAATCAATGCAAATGTTGCATTATACAGAATAAGAAAGAAGATTTTAGCTCCAATGGCGAAGTCAGGGAGCAGATGTCGAAAGTGGAGAGTGAGAAGGATGAGGAAGATGTTGAGGTGGAGGGCCAGGTTGATGATGAGCTGGCCAATGAGGATGACGTGGTGGATGGAGATTGTAGGAAAATGTTTGCTGGTCAGAATGACAAGGATAATCTACGTAGTTGGGAAAACGTATCTGTTGTTCAAGACTCTGACATGAACATGGAAATATCAGAAGTTGGGAGCGCATGCGGGGCTGCATTAAATGAACCAGTGGTGAACCCTATGGAAATTCAAATTATAGAGACTCGTAGAGTGGAGGAAGAAATTGTTACTCCTGGCTTTGTGAGGAGTGTTACTGGGTCTGAGATTAATAGGCCTGGGCTTAATCTTGAGGTAGTTCTGAATGAGGCCCATGCTTTGAAATGTGGTAATTTGTTGGGCCAAAGGCTCTCCGAAATTAGTGAACCCGTGACAATACCCAAAATGAACTATCTTGATCAAACTAACAAGGAAAAGGAAACCCAAATTAGGATTGGTGAAGGAAACCACTGTGTGGTCGTGAATAAAAGCATACCTGTAGCTCAGAAAGGGCAAGGAAATGTGAAGGTGAAAAATAAAGGAGCTCTAAGAGTACAAAGGAAACAAAAAGGAAGCATGAACCAGGGGGGGTGCTTCTCTAAATCTGAAAAAATGAGCCATTTTCAGGTTGGCTGTTGCTGCAATTTCACTTTCAATGGCAAGTAAGTCTGGTAATGGACAATTACTGCTTAATGAGGTTAAAGCATCACTCTAAATAGGGAATGTTCTTGGGTTAAATTATGATGGAAATGAGGTAGAAGTGTTAAGCAAGTTGGTGGAATTGGAAGGAGAAGACAAGGAAAGAATGTTAAAGAAGGGTGGAGCTGCAGATTGAATAGTACTCCTCTGGTGTATTGGTGGTTAAAAATCTGGTATTTATGAAGTTATTATCGTGGAATGTGCGAGGGCTGGGTAAACCTTCTAAAAGGAATAAAATAAAGAAATTACTCTCTGAAAGAAAGTGGAGATGGCACTTTTACAAGAAACAAAGAGGTCACAAATAGATGTAGAGTTTGAGAGATCTTGTTGGTACGAAGATAGGATGGACTTCATGGCAGTGGACTTAGTTGGTGTAGCTGGTGGCCTTTTGTGCATATGGAATCCAGATGCCTTTCAAATGGTGGATTGCTGTTGCAAACCACAATTTCATCATTTTGTCAGGTACTCTCTTTAACAATCTAGATTGTGTTGTTGTTAATATTTATGCCCCCAATGATAGTACTAATAGAAGGAAGGTGTGGGATATTTTGACTTGATTAAAATCTTTGTATGATAAACCTTGGTGTTTAGGGGGTGATTTTAATGAAATTAGGAATATTTCTGAAAGGAATGGATGCTATAGGAGAGATAGGGGTATACGTGATTTTAATGATTTCATTGACAATTTGGAAGTGTGTGACATGCATATGATGGGGAGAAAATTCACATGGTGTAACTCTCAAGAAGGTGAGAGGTGGAGTAGGATTGACAGGTTTCTGTTAACTCCAGAATGGGTGCAAAATTTCAATTTCAAGCTTTGGGGCTTACCTAGGAGGTGGTCAGATCACTGCCCTATTCTTTTAATGGAAGATGATAGGGAGTGGGGTCCAAAGCCATTTAGATTTCTAAATGCTTGGTCCCTACATCCTCAATTTAAATCCTTGGTGGATAATACCTGGGCTGAAACCATTGTTCAAGGTTGGGTTGGTTTCAAGTGTTTAAGGAAGCTTAAAGCACTTAAATTAGTTCTCAAGCAATGGAACATTGAAGTCTTTGGAAATGTGGAATCTAAACTCAAGCTTCTGGAATGGGAACTGCATTTGCTTGACCTAACAGCTGAAGATAGACCTTTAACTGTATTAGAACTTGCTAGAAGAAGGGAGGCAAAAGGGGAAGTATGGAAGTTGACCAAAATGGTGGAAGGGGTTTGGTTTCAGAAATCTAGAGTTAATTGGGCATTAAAAGGTGATAAAAACACTAAGTTTTTCCATATTTTGGCTGCCTCAAGAAACAGTAGAAATGCATTGTGTTCATTAAATGTAAATGGGACCATCAAGGAGGATCCTGAAGAAATAAGGGCTGAAATGTTGCAGCACTTTAGGAATTAGCTCACTGAAACATGGTTCAGAAGGCCAACTTTATCAGGTTCTTTCAACTCTATTGGGGGTGATGCAATTAGGGATGCATTACAAGCTGAATTCTCAGAAGTAGAAATTATATCAACAATCAAATCATGCGATGGGAATAAGGCCCTTGGGCCTGATGGATTTAATCTGTTGTTTTTCCAAAAGTGTTGGCAGTCACTCAAAGGTGATGTATTATAATGCATGAAGGAATTCCATCAAAATTCTAAGCTGGCTCATGGAGTTAATAGTTCTTTTGTTGCCTTGGTCCCAAAAAATGATAACCCTTCTTGCCTTAATGACTATAGGCCTATTAGTCTCATAGGCTCTCTGTAAAAAATCCTGGCAAAGGTATTATCTAATAGGATCAAGCAAGTGATGCCTATGATTATTAGCGAGTCTCAATCAGCATTTATTGGAGGCAGAAATATTTTGGATGGAGTTTTGATTGCCAATGAAGTTGTTGATGGGTGGAAGAAGAATAAAATAAAAGGTTTTGTCTTGAAACTTGACTTTAAGAAAGCCCATGACTCAATAAATTGGGGGTTTCTTTTCTCTATGTTGTATAACTTTGGGTTTGGTTCTAAATGGATTAGTTGGATGAAAGAGTGTGTGAGTGTGTGTCTTCATCCCATATCTCTATTTTGGTAAATGGATCACCAGCAGTTGAATTCAAGCCTTTGAGAGGGCTTAGATAGGGAGGTCCACTATCACTATTCCTTTTTAACATTGTGGCTGAGGGTTTAAACATCCTGTTGGGCAGAGCATTACAAATGGGTTTGGTTAAAGGGGTAGTTGTTGGTTCTAATGGTACGAAGATAACCCACTTGCAATTTGCTGATGACACAATATTGTTATGTGAAGCTGACTGGGAAGCGGTAGTCACCATAAAAAGGATCTTAAGATGTTTTGAAATTTTGTCCGGGCTCAAGATTAACTACCACAAGAGTGTAGTCAGTGGGGTTGGGATTAATGAAGAGTCTCTTAAAGACTTTGCTGCTAAACTGAATTGTTTGCATAAAAAATTGCCACTCAAATATTTGGGTTTACCTCTGGGAGCTAATCCAAGGAGAAGAAGGACTTGGCAACCAGTGCTTGACAAATGTAAACAAAGATTGGCTTCTTGGAAAAGGAGATTCCTTTCATTTGCAGGTAGGTTGACAATAATTAAGTCTGTGTTATCTTCTTTACCAGTTTATTACTTATCTTTGTTTAAGATGCCAGAAGGGGTTGCAAATGAGTTTGAGAAAATTTAGTCTAGATTCTTATGGGGTGGTGATGAACTTAGGAGGAAAATTCACTTGGTTAAATGGGGGGAGATCACTCAAAGCAAAAGTCAAGGGGGTTTAGGAATTAGAAAGGTGAGATTATGGAATAATTGTCTTTTGTTGAAATGGTGGTGGAGATTTGGTGTTGAAGATAATGCACTTTGGAAACAAGTGATATGCTGCAAATACCCTAAGGTTGGTAGAGGTTGGTGGTCTTTACCTGTCGAAAATTACAAGCTGTCCATGATCTGGAGAGATATTATGGGTGTTGCTGGCTTGTGTTCTCAGCTGGTGAATTTTTTCAAGCAAAACATTGTGCTGGACATTGGTGATGGAAGCAGAACAATGTTCTGGACAGACACTTGGATTGGGAATATTTGTTTAAAAGATGAATTTCCTAGACTTTTCTTTGTGTCTCTGGACAAATCTGAGTCTGTGGCGGGTGTGAGGAATAAGGGTATTAGTTTTCAAGAATGGAAGCTTAATTTTAGAAGAGCCTTGTTTCAGTGGGAAATGAAGGAGTTGGGGAGGCTGAATTTGTTATTGCTTAATGCTCCAGTGCTTAGGTTTGGTAGGATGGACAGTATCAGATGGAAGGCAAATAAATTTGGGTTCTACACTGTTGACTCTGCTTATAGCTGGAATGTTTTACCTTCTAAGGTTATTAGCACAGTAACTGGGTTCATTTTGAAGAATGTGGCTCCACTAAGGGTTCAATTTTTTGGATGGTTATCATGGAAAGGGAGGATTAAGACATCCTGTTTTCTTCAAAGGCTTGGTGTTCTCAGTAGAGGGTCTAATGTGAATTGTATCTTCTGTAATAATGATTGGGAATCTGTTAACCATGTGCTGCTGTTTTGCCCATTTACCTGGAGAATTTGGTAAAAAATGTTGGATTGGTGGGGTGTTAAATGGGCAATACCTGGCTCTGCAGGCAGCCTTTTTCTCTGGTGGGTTGGTACAAAATTCAAAAAAAAGAAAATGATGCTTTGGCACATTATTCCGTTGGCAGTACTTTGGTCTATTTGGAGGCAGCGTAATGACAGTATTTTTAAAAGATCTCTGGTGGACTTTGAAGAGTTATGTGATGCTATCAAAATCAGGATTGCGTTATGGTTCAGATCTTCTTCCCCCTCTTTTAATTTCTTTGTAAATGATATAGTGTATAACTTGCAGCAAGTGAGGTTCTGTCTCTAGGATAGAGTTGGGTTGCTGTTCACAGCTGTTTTGGTGTGGTCTGTTGTGTTTGCTGGGTGATTTAGTTGATTTTCCATTGTTATTGAAGAGTAGGATCTGCCACTGCTAAGGTTAGCTGGGTGGTGAATAGGTATATCAGTTGGTCTGAATTTTTGCTGGGGTGTGGAATAAGTTTCTGCTGCTGGCATAAGGTCTACCGGCTGTAAGGTCTGAGAAGGTGTCATTCTGTTTGCACTGGATTGAATGGTGGCTTCTCCATCCTATTCTAGCTGCTACTGTGATCTATGTTGCTTTGGTCTGATTGGTACCTTCTCCAACCTCTCCTGGTGCTTGGTCTACAGTTGGTGCCAACCTTGGAGTTCTGTTCTGTTTTGGTGCTGGTCTACAGCTGCTATCAGTGCATGCTGTTGCTGTTTTGGATTTTGTGACAGAAGCAGTGGAGGTTGTTGCCAACCCTTGATGTTCTGATGTGTTTACCTTTTGATCAAGTGGTGCTGATCCTTGTAAATCATGAACACTTGTTATCTGCAGATCTTGGAGTTAGAATCTGCAGCTCTTGGTGCTGTTGACGTGGTGCTGGTTTGGTACGACAATTGTTACTGGTATGGCAATTGTTGAGTTAGAATCTGCAGTTGTTTGGTGCTGTTGAATTAGAATCTGCAGCTCTTGAGTTAGAATCTGAGGGCCTTCGTTCATCTGGTTGGTGCTGTTTTTGTCTTAGTCCATCACCTTCAGTTGTTGCTAGTGTATCATCTGTTTTGGTGTTTTTCTCTCTTTTCCTGTTGGTTTCTCACCAAATTTTCGGTGGTGCTAGCAAATGATTGGGTATTCTCCTTAGTGCCAACCTAGTTGGGATTGAGGGGTGTACTTTGATGCTTTTTGCACCTCCTTTCTTTATTGATGTTTTCCCATATGTAATGTATGCTTTCCCATCAATAAAGTTCTTTTTTTGCTGATCAAAAAAAATACAGCTGGTGGAGTGGGAAGCAAAAGAGGAGT